TTTCCCTTATAAACTTTAGTTTTTACTTAAGTTTATTATAAAATACATATAGTTTATTTATTTTAACCCTAACCTTAGGTACTTTAACGTTAGGTCCTTACCGTAAGTCTACTTTATATTTAAAATTACGAAGAACGGTATAATTTTAATTATTTTATTTAAAATTAATATAATTCCGGAAGTATTATTTTATAATTTAATTAAACTATTTTCTTTAACCGTTTATTTAAGGGTAATAAACTAAAAACGCTTTACTTACTACCCCAAGCTTCGTTATTAACGCTCTTTAAAACTTCGATACAAATTTAGTATCGCGGTCCGTAATAAATTCCTTTAATTATATATATATTATTATAATATACTATAGTACTACATCCGTTAATTACTTTACTAATTAAGCTTTTTTATAAAGTAAGAAATATATTTATTTAGTAAGCTTATCAATTACCGTTAATATATTATTATATTTAACGCCGGTTACTATATTTCTTAACTTTAGTAATTTAATTATAAAGTTTATTATAATTAAACTCTATAGTCATTTTACTATTAAGAATAGCTTTAGAAATCCGTAAAGTTTATACTTCGTAACCCTCGTTTTCTCGTATATATAGTATAATTAAATAACTTCTTTAACGTTATCCTTAATCCTCGGCTAATTAAAGTATTATTTAAACCTTTTTGTAGTTTTTATAGTACTTATATATCCTCCGAGCTTCGATTTATAAATTTTTATTATTAATACTGTCCTATCGCTTAGCTTTACGTACGTTCGATTTTTATATTATAATCTTCCCTAACTATTTTTTAAAATACTTTATAACTTTAATTTTTCTTACTAGTATTATTCCGTAATATTATCGCCTAACCTTCTTTAGTATTTATTAAAAGTAATTTACTTATAATATACTACGTAATACTTTATTTACGGTTAAAGTAAATACTTAAGGGTATCTTTTAACGTTTCTTTAAGTAATAGTAATAACTTTTTTAATATATCTTTATAGTAATTGGTTCGCTAGCTAAGTGCATTTACTTTAGTATTCTCCGATCCCTTTTTATAATTAATTTAAAAATTAAATTCCAAAAGAAACTTTAATTATTACGTTTACTGTACGTTAAAAACCTTTATAATAATAAAGTATTGTAGATTTTTATAATCCATATAGACCTATATTTCGTAATTAATATTATTAAAATATAGTTTTTATTTTTCGAACGCTTCGATAATAATAAGTAACTCTTTATTATAGATTAAATAATTTTAATATATTTCTTTTAATTTCTTCGAAAAGAAGGCTATTAAGTATAGCTTTCCGTCGTTATTTTACTATCCTAATTACCTACCGATCGTGTAATTTAATATATCCGCCTTAACTTTAAATAGTCGATTAAAGTTTAATAATTTAAATACCGGGTCCTTTAAAATAACTTTTTTTAGTTCCTAAAAAGCCTACTCTTTTTTCTGCCCCTACTAGAACTCTACGTCTTTTTTAATTAAATAATTAAGTAATCGCGCGATTTTTACGTATTTACGAATAAATATTCGATAGAAATTCGTAAACCCTAAAAATTCTTTAACGTATATTTATAATTATAGTATAGATTAG